CGCTTACGCTACTCTTTTAAGATTAAACTCAGACATGTTCGGACTCGTTTAATGAAAACTGACAGTCTTTTTTCAATTTACAAATTATCGGTGCTCTGCAAAGTTTGAATTCCTTAAGCCCTAATGGAATACATAGAGCATAAAAATTCTTATATTTAACATTTTTTATGCAACATTAGAAGATTTGTACAATTCTACTTAAAGTGTATAAAAAATATAAAAAATACCTAACGATTCTCTAAATAAATAAATAAAAGTCACTATATATCGCGCTTTTGCCAAAATAATATAAATAATTAAATTACACCAAACATAAGATAAACAATCCAATCTAACATATCCATATCTAACATATCTAACATATAACAATCTAACATAAAATGCAACTAGAGTATAATAGATTCGCTAAGATATTTGCTATGAAGCGCAAGATGCAACTGAGACGGCTCTTAATTTGTCAGTACATTCCAACTGAAACTAATAATTTAAATCTCCTACATACATATCCTTTTTAGCACCTCGAACATAAGATGACTACATCTTATAACTATAATATATGCTTGAAAAATATAACTATGTTTTCTATATTATTTATAAAAGTAATTTATTGAAATTTAGTTATGAATGCGTAAAGCTTCAGCTTTAAATTTAGCTATCGTTAAAATGACGATATCTGTATGTATTTCTGACATACTAACCATATTTATATATATATGTAATATATAATATATTTTATTATATAATAACTACATTAATTTCAATGGATCAGTAAAAATTTTGCTGTATACATATATACTGAGAGATTAAAAACAAATCTATATAAGACGAAAAGTTGCATTTTTCAATAATAATTTATATCTTTCAATATATCAGATGAAATAAAGAAGAATACCGTGACTTAAGAATCTAAAAGCTTGTCTTCGTTATTTCGGGAGGGGAGTCCAAAGGAAGAGGACTGATACATTTTTAAGTAATTTTAAATTTTGAGAGAAGAAAATAAAGACAGCATATTGCACCGCATATCTGCTAATTATGAGTAGGACGAGAACTTCATGAACCGACTTAAAATTCAGATCAAGGAGATGCGTAAGGGCTTAAGATTTTTTACTGTAGTAAATTTGAAAGCATATTATGAGAATGATGTATAAGATGCCAGACTATAAACTATATTCAAACAATATTTGTATAACAGTATCTGTTAGCTGTCTTATATTTCTAACTAAACAAATAATATTTTATACTAAAATAATACTAAAAATGTTAATATTTTCAAAAAAAGGATTAAAGTTTATATTTAAGATTCATAAGAAATATATCTTTTTTTTTAATATTGAAAATAGAATAAAATAGATAACTTACCTTTTAAAAAACTTATGCAATTAATATTTAAGAACAGTGTCTGGTTATAGCAAAATGATTTCATGATTTTATATAACTAATAAATGACTAGTGGAAAGTCATTTCCAAGTAAATTTTTAAAATTTTGAAAAAAAAAAATTAATTTTATATTTTCCAAAGTTTCTAAAGTTTCAATACCTTTTAATAATTTAGTTCTATTAATTACTTAGTTCTACTACACATCATGGATATTTGAACAGGAAATAAATTTTAGCTTTTTAAAGCTTCAATACTTCTTTCTATGTATCTGCATCTGTCTCTTTATCTGTATCTCTATTTCGCTCTTTCACTACTTCTTTATCTCACTTCGTCTTCATTTTTTTTCAATCTCTCTTTCTCTCTTACTTTCTCTGTGTCCATCCGTCTCTTTCTCTCTTATTTTCTCTCTGTCCACCCTTCTCTTTCTCTCTTCATCTCTCTTTCTTTCTCTGTCTGTATCTCTGTCTATCTCGGCATCTCTCTCTTTATTAATTTCTCTGTCATTCCTTTTCTTTACATCTCCTTTTACATCTCTCTTTTTCTCAATCTCTCCATCTGCATATCTCTTTATCTCAAAGTCTCTCGGTCTGTCTCTTTCTTCTATCTCTCTTTCTTTCTTTCTTCCTCTTTCTCTTTCTTTCTCTTTCTCTCTGCATATGTTTATCCTTCTCTTTCCTAATTACTTACATCACAATAAAGTTATAGACATCGACATATGCAGACCAGCTAAATGTTCCTAAATATATTAATCGTTTAATACCGATCATGAATATAATTTGTTAATGTTGTTGTGCCTCACGACACTATGTATAAATATTTTGACGAACTTAAAACAAGTTTTTAACAACATGCGTGACTAATATTAGAAAAAAATTAAACAAAAACTCTAAAATTGTTGATATTTGTTATGTTAGTATACCCAATGCAATGCTTGGAGGGTTATTAAATAACTCTATAATCATTAATTTTATTTTACAAATATTTCAACAATTCTAATATTGTAGAAAATTTTTTCGCACTTCATTACTCCTCATACTTTTTAAAACAACTATTTATTAGATATTTTACAATGTACTAACATCATAACATTTAAATATTTTAAATGTTCAGTAATTTAAATTTTTAAAACTAAATTTATAAGATAAAACTTCACATTCTCGAAATATTAAAGCAAATGCTGGCATTAATCTAATTTCAACCCAATGCAAAAATTTTTCCGAATCATAAAATGTCATATAAAATTTCTACAAACAATTAAAAATTCACTTCTCTGTCGGTCTTCCACTGCTGTCTCAGTCATGAAATGGAAGAGATAATCAAATGTCACAGAGTTTTTTGAGTAAGACACTAAAACAAGAATCCGCATTCACAAAGACCTTAAGAGCACACATAGTATTCAAAATCATGACGTTCACATGCGAATTTTGATTTTGTAGTCACTTTTTAATTGGATTATGTATCCGTCAAAACCGTTCGCATTAGCCGCAAACACACTGCTACTAAATTCCTCCTTACAGATTGCCTAAGCATCTTACGTGGTACGGGTAAGAAGACAAAGCATTCAAAAGGATTTGTAGAATTTTGCACTTCTCTTTACTGGAATTGTCATTGCACATTTGACGTTGATTTGCATTTGTAGGTTTTTTATGTATATTTATGTGTACATTTTACATTACATTTTTTTTTATTTTAAATAAAAATTACTAACAAAATTAAGCTACAATGTAAGTATCTTTGGAACTAACACAGAAAGTTACTTATTGCAATTTTTTGTGATAATACTACGAAGCATAGTCTCATTTGAAGCCATAGTTATATCTTTAATTTTGGTACTGGTTTTATCTATCGGTTATTTGAAGATGACAATTAATTGACTTATGATTGATATTTGCGAGTATAATTAGTAAAGATTCCATTACATCTGTGCTGATCTTTAGGGCTTAAGTCAATTCAATCAAGACATACATATTAGGTATTCCATATTTGAATATGAAATCTTGGTTTGATTGAAAAGTTTCTTGCTAAATGGAGAATCAAAATTAATAAAACTAAATGCGTTCAAGTAACTTTTACTATAAACAGAGAAACATGCCCTTTAGTTGAAATCAATAATATGGATATAGCTCAATTACATTCGCAAAATTACTGGGAATACATCTGAAAAGTCCACGAGGACAAATCATATTTTGAAGCCAAAAGATGAATTATATATAAAGAATTGTACTGGCTACTAAATCACAACTCTAAACTCAGTCTAAATAAATTGTTAATTTACAAATCAATATTGAAGCCAATTTGAACCAATAGTAAAGAACTGTGGTGTTCAGAGTGAGACACAAATATAGAAAAAATTCGGAAAGCACCAAAAATATTTTCCGACAAACTGCGTACATTCCGTGGTATGTCAAAATCGAGACACAAGTCGCATTGAAATCCTCAAGCTCGACATTTAATTACGTATACCCTAGCTCAATAGCATACAGGTTAGTCTTGTAAGATTCGCTCAACTATTGGCAATTTTTATTTAGAAAGATTTACCAATAAAACCAATCAAATAAAACAAAACAAAATATTCGATTTAATTACTGGTACATTAACTAGCATATTCTTTTAATCATATTTCTGTATAATCTTCCTCCATTTACGGATAGGAGTGAAGTATACTGACACCTATAGGCACAGTTGGGCAAAACAATTATCGATCTTCGTTCCGAATGCCCTATAATTGTGAAGAAATAAAGTAAATAGAGAAGTGAAACTGTCACCAAAGTATTATACTAGTCTTATAAATGGCCATAATCTCTGTCCTAAATAGTTAAGAAACACTTTAAAAGGTTTTATTGTAACATCGTTCCTTCAAATAATAACATGAATGTTTTTAAAAATTAATAATTCAGTACATTTACACAATTATACTAAAATTACTACGGTGTTTTCTTTAATTTACTGTCTATTTATAAACTTAAGTAACCGATTGAATTTTAAAGAATATGGTCCAAGTAGCTTAGTATTATAGCATCTCACAAAACGCAGTACATACTTCGCTTTATGAGATCTATAAGTTCAATGTCCCATTAAGACAATAACAATTTTTAACTATCTTATTTTCTCCTATATAGAATGAATAAAAGAGCAATAGGTGATATATAAAATAAGAAATTTTACTTTATGAAATCAATTGGTCCAGTGCCTCATAAAGAGAAGAACAATTTTGATATATCATATGCTCTCCTCTATAGTATGAGTAAAGCAACAGTAGATAATGAAATAATCAACTCACATTAAATGATTTCTCTTCTCGGTTAATAACTGTTATATCTTCGAATTAAAAATTCTACAATTCTACAAGAAATAATTTATACCACAATCTAGAACAATACTCTTGTTTCATTGAAAAAAGTCAAAATATGATATTTTTTGATTCTACTAGAACGTGTTTAAACAACAATTGTACTGATAATTCCCATTTGGATAACTATAAATGTTCTTAAGCTAATAACATTTGCTTTGAAGACATGTAATATTAATACAATAATATATTATTTATTATTTTAAAATTAGTTTCTAATAAAACCTGTTGCTATTTTCATTTTATACATTAATATTTGTTTTTTTTTAAATAGGAGGGTTTTACGGATCCACCATCAACTTCATCGATAAGTCGTTTATTAAAAACTACAAGTGAAGATGGCCGTAAGGATTACAGTATTAACGGATTATTAGGTGGTAAGTTTAAAACTGTTAATTAATTGATAAAGTTCACACGTATTACAAAAAATTTACAAATAATATGTTATCGTATTCAGTATCTATACAATATATAGAAACGATAAGTTTTCGAATTGCCGCCACAATGAAACAAATTAGTTGCCACTAAAGAGCTCAAGAATTATTTACTATCAATTGTGGATTTATATGTATTTTGTTTTGCTCTTAAAGAAGCCGATCAAAAGTTGTAACACTTGTTTCCATCTAACAACGCCTCACTCTTTCATATGTTCTTCATAGGTAAGATAGAGGAAAAAAATTAATATAAAAGATCGTAGAAAATTACAGATCATTTATTTGATAATTTGAAAATCATCATCAAATCATTTGTTGGTCAAATCATTAAATTCGTCGGCGTATTTACTTTGATCGTCTTAGAACGAGGTACAAACTTAAATCAAAGTCGCTGAAACATTTTAAAAGATTGTTATGCGATAACGATCACAGTTTTAATTTTCCACTGTATCGCTGTATCGTGCTTACTATGTGTAGCTCCATAGTTTACTCTACAGATGATGACACCTGAGAATTAAAATCAAACTCCTATAATAGTTTAAAGTAAAATTTTTTTACAATGTCTAATAAGCTGAATTTTTTTATTTTTATGAGATTTGTGCGATGCCAGTGAATACTGCTTACATTTTGAGTTGCTGTTTGAGGTGTAAAGAGGCCAATCAGTCAATATGCAAAGTCATTCTATAAACGTTCAATACACATGTTCTGTACATAGTATATTCCAAATACGAGTTTTATGATCGGTATTGATTTTGTCTTGGAATTCTTTGGATTTCATTTATACAAATGTTGCATTCATTTGAAAACTACACAATAAGTCGTAAAAGCAAGTTAGTTTTAAAAAACCCAGAAAATTAACAGTATGTTAATTTGTAACACTAGTACATTAAGAAATAGAAAAGTTATAATTATAAGATAATTAGTTTCCAATATGTGCAAATACTTATTAACGAAGAGAAAAATATGAAGAGAAACTATGAAATTCAAATCTAGAATTATATTTGGTTATCCAGATAATACGGAGCAAAGCTGGTAATTGCACAAAAAAATGGAATAGATACATCTATGACTAAAATATTTTTCATCATGACTGCAATGAAATGAATAGAAAAAACATCTATGGTATATAAACATGTCTTCACAACTACTTAAAACATCGTATAGTAAACTAGATTTGACACTTCTAATCAAGTAAATTACTGTTACCGTCAGTAACTAAGTTTTTTTAATGATACCTATAAACTTAATTAAACCTTAAGTTTTTAGAACGCTATATCTTTTACTTTAAACTGTTTCTCATTTAACTGAGACAAATTTTGGATTAAATACATTTCCAATTTTCGGTAACAAATGTAAACTTGCGGAATCTACATCAATTCCTGTATTGAACACATTAACAATGTGGAGTGTTTTAACACCAACCTCGGTTTGCAAAATGTTTAACAGACGAGTTTACATTTAGTCGATATTTGCTCGATATATAGAATACATAATATTGCTTTGTTTAACATTTTATCACTTTTTTGGAACCTTCACTCTCTATTAGCATGGCTTCCAAAACATTTCAGCAGTAGACACACGCACTATCATCCATGCCACAATCCAAACACAACAATAGATGGTTATCATTAATTTTGATGGCCGGATAAGCTATAGCAAACGACGGTACTTGACTTTGCGTGATCAATCAAATATTTTAATTTTTTGACTCTCTTTCAAACCGGTATTTGCCAATTGATCGCAACTTTGATAGCTCTGTAGATATTTTTAATCAAACCTATATAATTTTTTAACATCGATTTAATCATGTCCTTTCTGTTTGTAATATTATCAACTATTATAAGTAGTCCTTTGTCTCCGATTTCAGTTCGAATTTTATTTTATTCAAGCTTTACCTTTCGGAATAACATTACTACAGCTGAAGTTTTTTCCACGCTATTGTACGATAAACTCAGCTATCAATCCTGTGTACTAATTAGAACGTTATAGTAATTTGAAGTTGATTGCAGTTCAATGAGAACATCCTTGACCATTTCTTGATCAAAATGCGGTTGACAGTACTATTTTCAATTACAGCATCGGATTGACGTAATAAATGTTTTGTAGCAAACACGACATCAACACGTCATAGAGTTTGGCGCTATCTAGATATAAAACATAAACGAATATAAAATATAGAACGAAGCTTCTAATAGTCAAATAAAACTATTTTTTGATGCTAAATTCAAATCCTTAGATCATCAAATAATATTCAATATATTTTGTGTTTTTGATATATTATATGCTACCAGTGGCGTCGCTAGGCGTCAGCGATGTCGGCGACCGCCGACGGCCTCGCGCCCATTGGGCGTCGCAAAAAGTTACCGACTGTGGATTCTAAGCATTTAATAAATATTTTGTACAATTTGGTTTGATAATGGCATTAACCATATTCGAAGTATTCTCGAATGTTTATATAGTAACCAGATTCATGTTCACATTTCCAGTTAGTATTGCTTCGACGGAAAGAAGCTTCTCAAAGTTAAAATTGATTAAGGCATACTAGAAATGTATGATGATCCAAGAGAAACCATCTCCATTGGAAATTCTATAAACTGAAGTAAAAATAGCAGCTGGCGCAAATTATGATACAATTTTAAAAAAAATTGAGTGAGGCTAAAAGTAGGAAAATTCATTTATTTTAATATGTGTTTATTTTAATTTGATTAACAATAAAACTTTCAAAACTGGGTTATATACGTCGACGACGTGCAAAGTTGGTCTAGCTCCGCCACTGTATTAATAGATGATTTTACTAAATCTAAATAATAATTTCATTTTATTTCGAAATCAATATTTTTTTGAGAACCCTTTTTAAAAACGTGTTCATATCTGCACCATAATACTTTCCTACTTAAGTATTATTTTCATTAAGAAAAGAGTTTTATAATTTAACTGCTTTGTATTCTTCTGCATTTTATAAAAATCTCTTTATTGAATTTATTCTTATGTCCAAATAATTTTCCTTATTTCTCATATAATTTCATTTGATTTTAAACTTTGAATAATTTTTTTTTTGGTGGTGTTGTCTGTCGGCTTACTTTGATGTCCGTAATGTCCGCAGTTTCCGAAAACAAAACTGAATTCAAAACTATACAAATGTATATATTAAGAGCGTTGCACGTAATATTATAATTCTCTGCCGAACACCTCTCCGAGACATGGACAGTTACAAAGCTTGCATTGGGTTTCGATTATTATGGGTATTGCCACTTGTTTGCAGCATTCAAGTTATTGTTACTGACTTCTCTTGCTTCGTATTGTTGCCCATATTATTATTATCATTATTATTAATTTCTCAAGGTGGTGGTCACTGATAGCACCAGTAACAACAATTTCAGTTTCAACAAAAAAAAAAGTAAAGCTCTAGTTTAAGCAATCAAAAGAAATGCTCAGATGTTCGGTTAAAGTTGCAGATACATGACACGACAAAAGCGGCTAAATGAGCTAAAATTTTCAAACGTAGCGGTTGTAGTTATTGTATTGTGTTTGCGAGTAATTGTAGCTAAACTTCATACATCTGAGGCGTATGACTTCAATTTCGTAGTAAAACTTAAATTTTTATAAACTCATAATATTTATTATTTATTATTAATTTTAGTCATTTTTCTATTTTTATTTTACAAAGAAAACCTTAAAAGCGAAAATGCCGCAACCGATTAAATTTCAATGAAAGCGTTTTATCAATGCTGTAATGCAACAATTAAAAATGTATTAATTTTTTATTTTTCTCATTGTTGCAAGCTTATTCACTAAAATATTAGAAAAAAGTACAATCTGTTTTTATTTTTATATAGCTAATTTCAAATCATGGCAGGCGAAAAGTAACCTAAAAAGTTTTAGAAATATTTTTAGACCTTGAATAGAAATTATAATTTTTATTTTTTAATGCGCTATTTATAATAAATAATATATTTGTTTCAATTATATTCGTTATTTATTATTTATTATATTACATTTCTATCTGAATTTAACTTAACAGGTACAAATTAAAATTATATTGCATTTAGTATACATGCTATCATTGAACTATATATTCAAAAAAGCATAATAACTAAAACCCACTACCCTTACTTATGCCAACTACTGTTCTTGTGTACTCTTGTGTAACATGATTTTCTTTAATACTAGTGACAATATCGAATTTAAAATCAAAATAGATCATACAAATAATATAATAACCCCGTAGACTAATAAGCTATAGGACAAATATGATATGATGTTTTCCAGAAATGCATTACAAGGAGGTCTTTAAAATATCTATTTACAATAGTTACTCCTATCTCTTTGACAAGCTTTTCTAAACCAGTAACCTATTTCGATATAAGTGATATTATCGAATTGAAAATCAGGACAGATCATATATATAATATAACTCCATACACTAATAAGCTATACGACAAAATAATTTATTACAGAAAAGTGTTTAAAATATCTATTAAGGGTAGATACTCCTATCCCTTTGGCAAGTTTTTCTAAACCATTAATCTAATCTAAACAATTAACTTAGCCAACAAAAAATAATTATTTGTAACCAGATGGAATAAATGATAAATAAGATGCAAAGATCAATTAGTTCAAAATGATCAAAATTATTATTATAATAAATTATAATTATATAATTATAATTATAATAAATTATATTTATTATTATAAATTATTATTATTATATTGAGTATAACTATTTCAATTGTGTATTGCCAGAGAGTAAATCGTTGCATTGTCCTGGTGAAATTATATTCTTTTTTAGTTATAATTAAATATTACAATATTACATTTCGTCTAAAATTATTGTATATACTAGTTATTAGCTCGAGTTATTATGTGACCCTCTTCGAGGTAGTTAATCAGTTATCTGTGACTAATAACTTTCCAGCTAACAACAGGGTCTTTGCGTTTTTTGG